AAAAAAATAAAAAATAAAATATACAATTTTTCCCTTTAGTGTATTCCTGAATTTCACCATCCCTAGTCCTACAGTCCTCCTCTTTCAGCCCCTCCTTTCTTTTTCTGATATCCTTTTCTTGTAGTTTTCTTTCTCCAGGCCTACCCCAGGCTTCCTGCCATCTCTCTAGACTTATTCTCTTTTCCATTGACTCTGGTTCATTCTGATCTCTTTCCTTTTGTTTTACATACCACAGTTAGTTCACTTTTTCCTCCTTTCTCACATATGTTTTCCCTGCCTTTTGTGTTTTATTTCTGTCTCTGTTTCTATTCCTCTATTTTCAGTATTTTTAAGCAAGCTCTTCAGTGTGTGATATATATAACTGAGCAAGTAAATAGGAGAAAAGTCACAATCAGTGCAATTAATTAAGATTTAAGAAGCTTACACTTCAATCAGTATTGATGCCAAGAGATTTACACTAACAAACTGATATATGTGTCTATCCTATCCGAATTATGTCCAAACTGCTTTGAATAAATATGAAAAAAAGTTCATAAGATAGGAAATTATCTTCCCTAGTATTGCTTCAGAGGAATTCTCACTTAACAACAACTGATGCACTGAAATGAGCATCCCTACGGGTCTCTCCTAACTTGAACTCTATCGAGAATTTTTTCTGTGGTCCACATCTCAACTCAGTGGGAATCAGAGTTTATCCCAACACACAAAGAATGAGTGTTGTCCTGATTTTTGACTGATATAGAGTTAATTCTCTTTGCAGTGGCTGCTGTGGTTCTGTGTTTTGGATTTAGGAAAAAAATGATATTGATAACATACTGATGTTTAAGTTGTTACAGAGCAGTGCTTACACAGTGTCAAAGACCCTCCAGCTTCTCACTCTGCCCTGCTGGCAAGGAGGCTGGGAGAGCACAAGAACTGGGAAAGAGGACAGCCAGAACAGGTGACAGCAACTGTCTTTATCTAAATCCACAAACTTTGTTTATTTCCCAATTCTTTCTCCCATCCCACTGGGGAGGTGAACATGAACTGCTGTCTGGTGCTTATCTGCCTGCCAGGTTAAACCACAAGTGCCAGTGTGATTTTCAAACAAACTAGATTTTCTCTGACCTATTTAGCTCTCAAAGGAGTGTTTCTGTAAGTGTCCATGTAACTCCAATAGTGCCCTAAAAATCATGCTTTTGTTTGATTTTAAGATGCCACGTTAAGAAAACTCAAGGAACTGACACGCAGAAGATTTTTTAAAATTTACCATACTGTCACTACTTGCATTAGATTCTATGCTATTACCATGATCAGCATCCTTCTTTTCAACTTGTTTATCTAAATAGAATCAGTCAAAATCACACACACACTTAATATCAGTGTATAAATAAGATATTGATAGATTTCACTCAGGACCTCTCTTAATTTTGGTCTGATCATTTATTTATAAATACAAGCATACTTTGTTTCTACTTGGTCACAGCCTCCGCTCTCGAATTTGGGTAATAAGAAATTGCCAGACTGATTGGACCTATGCAAATATCCTTCTTTGTCCACCAGATTAGCACAATATATTAATGCTAAAACTTCAATTCAGTGACCGTGTTCTATAAGCTTAAAGTGAAGCATACACTAAATCACTCTGTTGAAACATCATTTATACAAAATAATGAAAATTACACTAAGATAAATAAATAGACATAGGGACTGAAAGTGAAGGGAGCTCCAATTTATATTTGTATATCTAAATTGATGCACACAGTCTTGCTAAATTATATTTATGTACATTTGCATGCACATCTACACAAAGGACATCTTTATTTTAATTCAGCTGTGTAAGCAAAATATCATGTAGTATACCTAGTATATGTTGTACCACTAGTCCTAAAACTTAGAAAATTCAGCATAGGGTCTACAAATTCCCATCTTCCTTGCTGCTTCTAGGACAGACATCCCAACTGCTATGGATTACTTGATATGGATACCTGAATTGATTAAACATTATTCAGATAAAAAGAAAGGAAACATAACAAAATTTTTCAGGCCTAATCTTCTAGACTCAGACACTCTGAAACAGGAACATGTAAGATATTACACATGGTTGTACGAAAACCACAGCCAACATTTGCATATTACATCTGTTAGACAGGCAGTACTTGGTCCTGTCCAAGATGTGGTCAGCTTTAGAATTAAGATTTACTGAAACAAGTTTCCCAGGATTCATTGCAGCTCAATAGCCTCAGGCTATGATAATGTGAAATTCTGGAAATTAAATTGGATGGGGCTCAGCTACTAAATGGAGAAGAGATCTCAGGAGAAGCCCAGGATACTGCAAAATATTTGACTGTTTTTCAGTTCATGGTGGTTTGCACCTTCTTGTTTCTCTGAGGCTCTGGCACGTCCACAGTCTGTGGTTTCCCTGTTTTGACTGCAACAGGGCAGAAGAGATTCCTCATCACTGGTTCATTCTTCAAGGCCTCCCAAACCCACCCAGCCTGACAACAAGATGAGAATGGGGAACTGAATGAATATCAGATTATTCAATATGAGTACATCATTCAGAGATTCCCACTGAATACAAAAATTCACTGTTCAGCAGCTACCATATTCCTGTATAGATTCACCTGTGTTTCAGTGATGAGTGGGGATTTCTCTTAGTGCATCTCAGGTATAACTATCTTGTCACTGAAATATTTTTCTTTATGAATGTTATTTGTATGCTTTCTGCTTGCACCTTTTCCCAGCTCACATGTCCCAGCATGAAACCTCAGAAATTAAGTAAATATTTCTATTTTGCTCCTCCTCTGCATGAAAAAGATCATATTAAAAGTAATTCTAACTCTAATTCTAATTCTAACTCTAATTCTAACAGAGTATGATGTACAGCAAAACCACCATTTTTAAAAATTTCATTTCTGAACTTTGTGAAGCACAGAATAGTTTCCACAACCCCTCTGAATCTCCTTTAGCTTCCTACACACACTTAGATTACAAGTTCTACAATACAAAAAATGTTTAGATGCTTTCCTTAGGTGTTTAGCATGTTAGAAGCTAAGCTTTTATCATTTCAAATTAATTTCACCCCTGCAACTGCAGAGATCTTGAAAGCATGTCCTACTTACAGTGCAAACTCCAGAAGCAAAAAGAAGTAAAAATGAATATGTAAATATATATATATCCTCGTCTCATGGCACCTAAAACAGACTCAAGGTTTTGGTTGTAATGTGGTTTATTTTGAGAAAAATTATGAGAGCATCATCAATGTTTTTGAACATAGAACTGATATATATGGCTTCCGTTCAGACACATAATAGTCACTCAGCTGCTGTAAAGTAGATCATAAAATAAAAATGCATTGCATAGTATATATTCTTTTTGTACCCAGGATGTCACCACCTTGCAACTCAACATAAGCACTCTGAGGCCAGAGCTCAGAATCTGAGCTTTGTATTTTCTCACAGAAGTCTCACACACACATGCACACAACCACTGTAATCGGTATAAACTGCTTGTGCCAGGCACTACACATTGAGAGCTCAAGAACAGAAAACTGTAACACCGTTCTGACTTCCGGCAGTGTAAAGCACAACATGAATTGGTTTGAAACTCTCCACAAGGCTTTAACTAGAAACCCAAATCTTAAAACTTGACTATAGATAGGAGTGTATCATGCCATAAATGCTTTTGCTCAGCCCTAGATTCTGCATTCACAAGTCAACCTATGAAGTGACCACCTGACTGATGCACATGAGAAATGGAGAGCAGCAAGCTTGCACGAGATGAGCCCCATCAAAAACAAACCACATATGCAAAGCCAGCATGTACATTAAGTTCACGCTGACAAGCTGCAGCTGGTTTCAGGTACACCAGTTGATGAAGTCTACCAGGATGTGGTCAACAATATAGTAAGCTACACATAGTATGACTTTCCCCACAGGCCTTTGCAGCAAACCCACAGCTTTTTTGGAGGTAACTTCACTGCACAGCTTTCAACCTGCTGGATGAATTGTAATGGTTATTCACTGTTGGTACAGTAGAGATTTCCATCCTTGAGCTTATGTCATTTATCATCTTTCTTTCCTAAATGGCTGAAAGTGTAAAATAATACTTGATGATTAGTTAGATACATTTTGGGTATAAAACTTCAAAGAAGGTGAAGTAATGAAGAAAACATAATAATCAAAGTTTCTACTTAGATTTATTACTTATTATTCCTATGAATATTTTTCAATTTTTAGAATGCATGCCATGAGAAAAAAACATGTGAAGCTTTCAGTTTTTAACACTCCGTTTATTAACAGTAGTTCCATTCAATGCCCATAAACAGATGTAATTTTAGTGAAATCTATAAGCAATGAAGCTTCTTTAGTATCCAAAGGTATGCTAGAAGTTTTCAGTTTTCACAACAATCAAATGCAAGTTTCCTTTTTGAATTATGACCTAATGACTAAGACACAAGAAATTTACCTCTCATGTACTTCAGTAAGGACCTCACTCTGTTCTAGGCATCCTGTAAAATATAGCAGGATGTACATGACATAAATAAGCAGAGTCACAGTCAATATGATCTTTGTTCTTTTTCTTTATTCTGATTCACATTTGTCTTTTACTATATCTAATTATGCATCTAGGTAGAGTCATAAGTTTGCCATTCAATTATTTTGTGGTAAGACTATTCCAATGGTGGACTGTCCTCTGTGATAAGGCACATGCCATACTCTCTCAATTAAATCAGAACAGAGCATTTGATAAAGATCTGTCATAACTTTACCACACTTTACCTATTTATGTCAGTGTTTGCTAGACGCAATTTATGGGAAAACATCAATTAGACAGTCTGGGTGCCTTTGAGAGCCTCCTAGGGCTCTGGGTGAAACTAATGATGAATCTGCACTGTAGCTCTTTCTTTCAAAAGTCAAGACTCTTATTTTTCTTTGGGGAGTGGTGAAAAAGGGACTTAGATTTTAGCTCACAAGTGGTATTTTTATGGATGATTTCATAAAGAGCCACGCAAAAGGATTAAATACAAATCTTGTCAGAGAACTGATGAGCATTTGTAAAAATAGAAAATATTTGGATTCAAATACTTGTGAGAGGTATTTAAAGCATCACAATGCACTTTTTCAGCCAAAACGTTTTCAGTTGAGCAAGTATTCAGACTGGAGCCACTCACAGTAAATTTAGAGATTTCCACGTGTGATCCACAGATTGCAGGTCTACAGTTCTGTTTCTAAACCTGGAGATTCAGTGTCAACTCTGAGGTCAACCAAGTGTTGAACCACGCAGTAGTTATTCCTTCAGTAAGGTTCAAGAAAGTTTGTGACTTCTCTTTGCTCCACAAAGCTGTCAGTTTTCATAAAATCTGCAAGAACTACATATCTTCAAGATCTTTGCCTCCCTCTCAAATTTGCTTTTGTTTAGTCAACCTTTTCTAAACATACTAATGTACTGATCACACATACAAGTAATGTAATTATTATTATTTCTCTTTCTCAGCAAACCAGGTTATAAACCTTAGAAAATAAGCCTCTGAGATTCTTCAAGACTTCCAGTATTAAGTGTAGTGCTGTCTCATAATGTATACAACCCCCACTGTTTTGTACAGTACAATTGATTTGTGAGAAGATTATCTAGTAATTAGTTGTTTTTTTAACAGTCATGCCATTTGACATATTAAACATTGCGCATTACTTAAACAATAGAGTAGAAATATCAATAGTCTGGTGCCACTGGGTACTCTTTTCCATTAGAGTGCATATATGTGTGAGACTGAATGGTGAGTAATAGAAGACTGTGTTTCTTTATGATGTATCTGATGAAGTCAGCACTAATTTCTTAAACAACAGATCTTTGGAGCTAGACAAATATATCAGTATCTTATTTATTTTTCTAGGGCTTGATCAGAGGCTGATTTTCAGGTTTAATAAGAAATTAACTGGATTTTACATTGGAAGATACCTTAAGCCAAACTTTCCCTACCCTTTATCTCACCGACAACAGGCTCAGTAGTAGTTTTCCTTATTTAGGACTCACTGCGATGATAACGGCAAGGGTTATTTTGGGTCTCTGTTCTTCCCATTTTCTCTTTTCTTTTCCTTCTTCCAGTGTTGCTTTTTAGCCCGGAGAAAAGATGATGTAAGGGAGAACTAAACCCTCTGTGAAGGTTTTTGAGGAGATGGAGCCAAACTCCTCACAGCAGGTCAAAAAGAACAAGAGGCATACAGATATACTGAAATTCAACCTCCGTCCCTAGAGGTTTCCATTATACCCCACTGGACAAAGCTCTGACCTGGTCTGAATTCAGCAGCCAGGCTTTGAACAGACTAGAGTCATCCTAAGATTTCTTCAAACCAGAATTATTCAATTTAGTAATTCAATCATTTTAAGATTCTATGATTATCTTTTAAATTCTCTCCCTGTACAAAGATATATCTGGAAGCATTGACTTGTCATAAGAGATGTTGATCTGGAGAATGATCATTAGCAATCATTACCAAAATCTGTCATTGATGATGCTGTAATAAAGTTTTGAGTCGGAAAGTACTCATTTAGATAGTTGCAATAATACGTAAAGTCATGTGTAAAAATAGAGCCTTACTTTGTAAGTAGTTCCTCACTTACTTTTGGTCTGTAGCTATCTTGATTGTAATGGACCTTGGACACAAGCTGTCCCTGGGGTCCCTAATAGTGCTGTTCTTATGCCATCAGTCCTGTAACTGTTAAATGTTGCTGTAAGTTTAGAGAAGTGAGAAGGAAATGAACAGTACACATTTAATCTCCCTAAATCTTCTAGATGATCATACATTTGCTTGAGGAACATTAGATTCATTGACCCCACCTGGCTTTGGATAATTTCTTAAAAAATATCATATTACTGGTAGAACTTGCTTTCAATAAGGTTTTTGTATTATGGGGAAGTTATTTACAACCTTGGTGGGTTCCCCTTTGAAGTCATTTGTCTTGTTGAGAGGGGAAGTGGAGCTGGCCTTTGAAGAGTCTCATTTCATCTTGGATCTCTCACTTTGAAGTACACTTTACCCCGTGGGCATACCCTGTGGAAAATCTCTCATTGTTCATGGGTCTCCTAAGAAAATATTCCCTAGAGGCACACTTCCCTGATGAACAATTTACCTTGGAGATATGTGCAGTGATGTATTTTTCATCCTTGCCAACAGCAGGCAGGGTCTAGTTATACCAAACACTCAAATTATTTTATAGAGAAAATATAGGTGATTATTAGTAGAATATATAGAGGACAGTTGCATAATGTGTACAACATCCAAATCTTGATAAACTCAACTTCCTTAATGCTACTGAAAAAATATAATGTATTTCAGTTCTAACACTCTGCCCCTGGACATCCTTAATTATCTGAATACTTTAACGCCGAGGCTTTCTCATTCTTATTTTTTTAGATGAAAAATTCTCTGAAAGCCTGAAAAAAAAACGAGTTATTTTCAGACATGATGGTTTTGAAAGATAGCCATTGTGACTGCAATAAAAGCAAAGTGAATGCACATTTTCGCTTTAATGAATTTTCACTATTTTTTAAATAGAATTTCAATAAACAGAAAAGTAAACCTTCTTTATGGCTCAGTGTTCATTGAGGTCTAGTACCTCAGTGAGGTTGGAAACTACAAATTAGGAACATAAACACAAACAAACAGCCACACCTATGGTCCATAAAAGCTTTTCAACCATTAAAGCAACACTACTTCTGCTATATCCTGCCATTGCCTAATTTCAAAGGCGTAATAAAGGGTAATTGCTATGCATACAGGATCAGCTTTAGGCTAACCAAAACAAGCAGCAAACTTGAACAACAAATTTCCAGAACAGAACAACTGCCATGGCACTACTCCTTGTTTTGCTTATACCGCAGGCTTAGAAATCTAGATTTACTGCTGCAGCTGCATTGAGGTGTGTGGGATGCAGTGATGAGTGCAAGTGGGAGTTCTCCCAGAGGCAGAAATCATTGCCCTAAGACTTCTAATACCTCCAATAGCAGAAAGAGCTGAGAATCTGAACTTGCATGACTTTTCTTGGTGCCTTATTCTTTGTTCTTTTATGTTGCAGGAATGACCAATTTCTGGTCATGTCCTACAACTTACTCTGAAAGTATGTAGTGTTGGAAGCCTAGAACTGATGCAGTACTCCATACAGTCAATACTAACAATAAACCTTCCATGTTACAGATGGTGTGGGTTCAGAAAATCTATGTTAGATTCGGGATTGTTGCATAAATATGAGATTAAATTGTCACATTTCATTCTGAATGCTAAGAGAACACTCAGTGGATTGCAGTGGATATTGTAGCATGCACAGTATGCAGTTTGTTTATATATATAAAAGCATATGCTTATAAAACTTCTATTACCTCTGAAAATAGAGGATTCTGACAGGAGATAAGAGCTCAAACTATTTGAGTGCTTCCTTTAAAATTATGTAACTGATTTGGGTAAAGATAGTATGATATTTCCCATTGCACTATATTTAAGTATTAATGGATTTTTTCCTATGAAATCTATATCTCTCTTCTGCAAGGCAACCTTTGACCATCTTACTTGTTTGATATTATGGCCCTTTCCATGGCAACAGATTGTGATGTCATGCACAAACAGATTATGAGGTCAAAAAGTGCCCAGGATGGAGCTAGAAGAAGATGTAGGAAAGATTCTGAAACTACGTAAATATATTTCAAAGTAAGTATTCAAAAGAAGTGGAAAACACACTTACAGTAAATGTAATAATTGTTTAAAATAACTTTTCAAAGAGGCTTTGTGGTTGCGTCAACCTTAATAGAAATAATAGTAATATAGCAATTGAGATTGTGATAGTGATAGCAATAATCATGGTAACAGCAATAATAAAAATGTGAGAACTGTCAGTGCTATGAGCTTCAGATCTGTTGCACACATAATATTCTTTTCATTGTATCCTATGAATAAATTTAAAAAAATCAACAGTGGAATATGAACTAATAAACAATGGGTATACAGAACATAATAGAATCACAGAAGGAGGTGCCAGGGATCTCTGGGTCCATCTGCTCCAGCCCATACTCCAGCAGGAACATTCAGAACAGGGTACCCAAGATCACATCCAGGCAGCTCTTGAAGATCTCCCAACCTCTCTGGGCAATCTGTGCCTGCGCTCAGTCACCTACACTGTAAAGAAGTGATTCCTGATGTTTAGACAGAATCTCCTGTGTTCCTCTCTTTTCTTGTTTTCACATCAAAACAGAGATGTCGGTTTCATCTTTTTTCTCCCCAAAGTTTACAAACATTCAGACTTGGGGTTTTAGTTCAGCGTTTTTCAGAGAATGTTTTTATCCTTACATGAATTCAAACTATTATGGTGATATGCTCACATACAGAGTTTTTACTCTATTCCATCATCAAATGCTTGTTGAGCATTGTTTGTAGAATTCTCAACAAATAAATTTCTCCTGCAGGCTGAGATTTTCCATATATGTCTATTCATTTATCATTTGATAAAATTTAATAAGTTACAAAGAATCATTTAGGGCATGAGAAAATAGCCTCAAGTTGTGCTAGGGAAGGTTTAGATTAGATGTCAGGGAGAATTTATTGATTTCTATGATTCTGTGATTTCTTTTAACTCTCTCCATGTTTACTCTGGAATACCATCCTCTGAAATATACCTGCTGATAAAAGTAATTATACCTATATTTTCCTTTTCATGCAGGTACCAAAAACATCAAACCACCAGGAAGGTGATCATCATGAACTCAGATTACAAATGGAGAAATCAAGGCACAGGCTGTTTTTTCTACTTTGCCCAGAAAAATGCTTTCAACAATTTGAAAATAATCTTCCATGTGTATAGCAAATCAAGACTATTCTACCCATTTATAGAAGGAGATATTAATACTATAAGTATTGAATTGCATTAAGTATAGTTTTGAGTGTGAAAAGACAACAAGCTAGCTTGTAATCAATGATTCAAGTCTGAACATAACTTGAGACATCTGCTAGACTATCGTTTTATAGACCTGGAGGTTACGTGGTCTCTCAGACTTCACCTTGATTTGTGTTTTCTCCTTGTTAACAGAGATAAAACAGCTGGAAAATAGGAAGCTGAAGCCCATCCTATGTTCAGTTTCTATATTTTTCTGTTTCATACATTCATCTCTAAATACTTAGGTCCTACCTACACAACGATGCACATAGATGTTAAAAAAAAAAAAAAAAAAAAAAAAAAAAGCATTCTCTGCTCTTTCTTTTCATGGATAGACTGTCCCAGTGGTTAATATGATCATGATTTTGTCAAATTTATTTAACTAAACTGAGCACTGCTTAAGAAAAGGACCCTCAGACATAATAGCAGTATTTGTATAGGTTGTTAATGTGCTTGATTTTAAAAGAACTCTCTCAAATTCAGCACATAACAGTAATATTGGGAGATAACTATTCAACAAAGAACAACACATTTCATTCTGGAACTAAATATTGTAGGATATTGTGAGATCCAGAAGTTATAAAAATATTCAAAAGGATGGTGCAATCATGAACTTTTTAAAATAAATCTAATCACAAACTCCACTTGAAGAAGTATTCAAATTGCTGGTTGCATGAACCTGGAAGGGTACAGTGGGAGAAGAATCGTTCTATATTTACCTTTTTTCCTATATGTACTATTGGCTCCCACTGGGCAGAGAATACTTGGCTAGATAGTCTGCCTAAGGATGTAAACTCTTGTGTTGATGCTGGCTTTAGTAACTGCTGAAAAATCTGAAATCAAAGGATTAGAGCTATGCTTGATTGTACTTTCATTATAAAGCCCTTCCTTGTTAAATAAAGAGATCACCAAGTTCCAATGGACTCAGATTTATACTGTATCTATAAACATAACATTGTTTACATCTTTCATTTATGATATTTCAACTAAAGTTGTTATAAAATCGCTCTGCTTTAGCGCTATGTCATAAAATGGAAGCATATATTACATTAAGTAGTAAGGAGCTGTATCTCATTTAAAACACATAACCACATAATTTCATTGATATATATCTATAGATATATATCTATGAACAATGAAATTGCCCCAAAATTAAAACCCTCCTGGCAGTGTATTTGTAAACACAATCAGCCCGTAATCCAATAAAGAGACTCTGCTTTGAATTAATGTGAATTGCTTCTCTATTCTGCCTTTACAAATATAACTTTTCATCTGAACTTCCTGGTTCCCTCTCTTTGTTTCACTAAAAATAATTGTAGTGATTTTCTTCCTCACTTGTAAACAGCAGAGGAAATATTTGAAAAGCAGAATAAAATGGAGGTGAGAAAGAAAAAAAAAAAAGGTTACAAAATAAAAGAAGCAGAGATAATTTCTTTTATACCTGCAAATAGAAAAAGCAAATCTAATTTCTCAGAACTTCTGGCATGAAACACTTTGCATTTTAAAAAGAAACTATCACTTCAATCATTTTTATGATTCTGATAATGAAAATGAAAGCTAGATTGTTAAATGGAAAGTGCAATAATTTTATATACACATAAAAAAGAAACCATTTCTTTAATTTTGATAATTTAAAACAAAATTTTCCAAATGACAACCTTTTAGTTATAATTCATTAACCTTCAAGTGACAATATGTGGTACAAAAGAAAATCTTAAGATACATGAAGACAAATGAAATACTCAGAGGTTAATCCTTGAACAAGGCAGAAATTCAAAGGGAGAATCTTGGCTTGTAATATTTACTGAACTAAGTTTAAAAAAAAAAAAAAAAAAAAAAAGGAAAGCAAGATATTATTCTCAATACCAGCTACACAGAATGTAGAAGGTAAATTGAAGACTGATATGCCTGAAACATTCAAGTACAAGATTTTCTTTCTACATAGTATGTGCTTTTCATCATGTTTCCAGAACTCTGGTGATAATGAAAATAGTTTGAGGAAACTCTTAAGAAATTTTAACCTACTTCTGAGGATTTTTATTTTTGTATCAGGAAGCTGAAGGAACATTTTCTAATAAATTTGTAGTCAGCTATTAAAATTCATCTGCTAGACACAATATCTATATAGACCAGATGGTATCAATTCCAGCTTCCTGACTGGTGCTAGTGCAATTTTTACTTATTTTTTCAACAGAATGTTGTCTATCTGCTCTTCCTATGCCGATGGATTCAGAAATAAAATCTGTTTGAGTAGATACATGATTGGTGTTCCCTCAAGCTGCAAAGAAATCACCTTATCAAAGAATGGTTAAGGTTGGCAGGGACCTCTGGAGGTCATCTGGTCCTACAGCTCTAATCAACCTGGTGTATGTTGCCCAAAAGAATGTCCAAATTGCTTGTGAAGATCTCCAAGGAGTAGATTCTAGCAGCTTCCTGGGCAGCCTGTGCCAGTGCTCAGTCATCCACAAAGTAAAAAATTGCTTCTTGATGCTCAGATGGAATATCTTGTGTTCTATTTTGTGCCACTTGTTTCCTGTCCTATCACTAGGCACTACTGAAAAGATCATGGCTCCATCTTCACTGCATCCTCTTTTCAGATATTTGTATACATATCCCTCCAAGCATCCTCTTCTCCAGGCTGAACATGTCCAACTCTTTCAGCTTCTCCTCACAGGAGAATGCTCCAGTTCCTTGATTATCTTGGTTGGACTTCCAGGATGTCCATGTCTCTCTCATACTGCTGGGCCCAGAACTGGTCTCCAGGTGTGGCCTCATCAATGCTGAGTAGAGAGGAAAGATAATGTCTCTTGACCTGCTGGTGATACTTTGCATAAAGCAGCCAGGAATACTATTAGCCTTCTTAGCAGCAAGGTCACATTGTTGAGTCATGTTCAACTTGGTGTCCACCAGGATCTCCAGATCCTTTCCTGCATAGCAGCTTTCTAGATGTGTAGCCTCGCTGTATGAACCTGGTGCCTGGGGTTGTTCCTTCCCAGGTGCAGAGATCTGCACTGGTTCAAATTCATGAGATTCTTGTTAGTCCACCTCTCTAGCCTGTCAAGGTCCCTCTGAATAGCTGTATCGCCTCCAGTGAATTAGCCACTCCCTGCAGTTTCACGTTATCCACAGATTTACTGATGGAGTAAGTACTCTAGCCACTGTCCAGATCATTAATGAAGATATTAAATAGAACTGGACTCAGTATTGACCCCTGGAATATCCATTACTGGCGGCCAATTAGACCTTGCACCACTGACCATTATCCTGTAAATCCACCTGTTCAGACTGTTTCCACTTTATCTCACTATCTGCTCATCAAGCCCATACTTCAGTAGCTTCTCCATGAGGATCTCGTGGGCAAAACTGTCAAAGGCTTTAGTGAATTCCAGGAAGATCATAGAATCGTAGAATCATAGAATCATAGAATGGCTTGGATTGGAAGGGACCTCAAGGATCATCAGGTTCCAACACTCCTACCACAAGCAAGGTTGCCAACTGCTTGATCAAATACAATATCAGGTTGCTCATGGCCCCTTCTAACCTGTCCTGAACACCTTCAGGGACAGGGCATCCACAGCTTCTCTGGGCAACTTGTTCCAGCACCCCACCACCCTCTCAGTGAAAATATCCACTGCTCATCATCCTCATCCATCAGGCTGATTTCATTATAGAAGCTTTCACCATCCCCTGGTGAATCCTCACTGACTGCTCTTGATGATTTTCTTCTCTTTCACATGCCTGGAAATGACATCAAGAATACTGGTTTGTCTCAGTGATTTCAGTCATTTCAGCTGCAATATTAACTCAGAAAAGCCACACAAGACCTTGAGGAGTGACAATGGGAGAAGGGCTGTGGGTATTCTACATTGTTTTTCCATCACAAAGAAGACAGAGGACAGACAAAGAATACTGTCTCATGAAAGAATTCAAGGTGTTAGACAATCAAGTAAAAGGATAAGGCTGTGGGAACTGAGGACTCAAAGACGGCAGATACAAAAAGCCCAGAATTTAGAAAAGAATTGGAAGATTTAGAAATGTCATGTGTCTCTGTTCTCTTAACTGGCTTGGAATGTGGGGCTACTACAACTTCTCTCCATAAATGTACTGCTTACACATGGCTGGCAGGATCTGCTAAGCAAAATGCATTTCTTCAGCATTGTGTAAGAAAATGGTACAGTGTCAAGAACACAAAAGCCAAGCATATTTGATGTCGGCAAGGAAGTCTCTAAATTTGGGAAGTGGTTTCCTAAATCAGATCAGAGTTCACAGGGCCAGTCCACAGGACCTAACCACTGGAGGCCTGAATGAAGTGCTTGGCTGTGTAGTTCATGCCAAAGGTGGTACCCATGGAAGCACACCTAGCACAGATTGAATGCACACAGTCTGCAGTACATCAATGTCAGTCAAAACAGCGCTGCATTTTTCAGTCTACCTCTTGGTTTGCCTGTTTCAAAGAGAGGCTTCATGCTTACCGCCATTAAGAACACAGCACACAGCAGGCATTCCTGCACCTGACACCACATCAAGCAGGAGCCATCACATTCCCTGGAAACTATCCGTGCCCCATCAGACCACAAAGAAGCCTTTTGCTTTCCATCAGCTCATGCCAGCTGGTGGCCATGCATCCGTGGCAGGCCAGCCAAAGGTTTTCCCAGGTTCCCCATCCCCAGGACTGAGGACCCCAAGGAAGATCTTCACTCTCCTGCTTTCCCCTCCAGAGTCAGTAACCCTCCCTCCTCTCCCAGTGGCTCCAGATCAGAAATGGACTGTTTCTTTAAACCCTCCAGCTTAGATTGGTTGCAGGCTTCTAGGAGTCTGTGGCCAAAACTAAAGCCAGGGACAATTCCTGAACAAGTAAGCTCACAATGCCCTGTTTATTTATACAGCACAAATGATTGAAATCATTATGCCTCAGACTAGCAGAACCTATTTATACACAGAATGTTAAGATGAGCAATATAGCAGGACTCTCTACCACTTCACAACAAGCGCCAGCCCCATCCCCCCATCTCCACTATAAAGCTCTGGGGCCCTTCTGACTTGCCACATGAAAGATGCATTCCTCGCCTGTTAAATTAAAATCTAATCATATTCTGCAATAAACAAGGCACAAAGAACACTCAGAATTATGGGATGAAAACCAGCAACACTAAGGGCCAAACTCACCCCTCAGATCTATCCTACAACTCTTTGACAAGTGCAATCAGTTAAATGTTTGAGCACTTGACAACAGCCACCCGACCAGACGTTTGATCTGCCTGGTATTCCACCCTTTTCCATAAATTACAGATCTTCAGATCAACATGTCCTCCATATTTGTGATGGCTGGTCTCCAACAGAGAGAAGGCTTGGGAAGAAGTGGAAGGGGATATTTCTCTCAAAACAAATTACTTCTATGTTTCTGTCTATACAAAGTAGATCTGGAACTACTTAAATGGGCATCAATTGCATTTGGAGCCTCGGAAGAATAACTTTTGCTTTTCATCCTCCTCAAGCACTCATCCAACCTAAACAAAATGTGAGATCTAAACAGCAGTCTCGCATTTAGATGCCATTTGACTCACAGCAGCATCCTTTGACTCTTGAAATAATCATATTGCAGTATGGCAACCCACATGCCTGGGGACAGGATCATGGCTGCAGTTGTGAAATGGTGGTGAATCTCACGTGAAGTCATGGGCTAGCTTTTTAAACTGTTCCATTACCCCAGGGGACAGGCCTCATCCAGACCATATGAATGAAAAGTATAGAATGATTATTTGTGCTGTATACCTTTTATAGTCTTAACAGTTTACTTAACTATGGTAGTCATAATGTTTTCTCAATATGATTAGAATTTAAGAATTTACAGGTCTTAGCACCTCTACGGTTCTTTGGATTTTTCTCTCCAGAGTAGTGAATGAACATTAACTAATTGCTCTTCAGAAAAACACTTTTATTATCATGATTTTATTAAGTGGAAACCAAGAGGTTAAGTAACTTGCCTGAAGTCATTCAGTAAGTTGCGTGGGGATTAAAATTTAGGAGTTCCTGGCTGCCAGCCCTGCTTTTTCGACCACTGGACTACTCTGACTCTTATTATAAGAATTTAATTTACTTGGCAGAGAATGCAACTTTCAACATAGTAAGCCATATATTGCCACTCTACTGGAGCTAAAGAAAGGTGAGAAGGCCAGCAGATCTCATTGTAAACTAATGAAGAGTCATATCATTGTAGATCTGTTTAAAAGTCTTGATCTAATAGAAGATTGCTTCCACTGCAAAAGACAACCATTGTTTCAAAATTTGGATTTTCACACATAAGCATTTGAATTTCTACTGAGCCATCACATGAAATGAACTGAAATCTAAGTAATCTTGTATTTT